ACTATGCCTAAATCATGTAAATAGTAGGCAGGGTTTGACACATAGTGCACTCGCCTCCGGCTCGTCCACCATGTGTCAAACCCTGCCTACTATTTAGGCATAGTACATGCATAATGCAACACTATTATATAAATATCCCAACACCACATGTATGTGGCCTTTGTCACCAATCTGATTGGATACGAAGATCAAGTAGGCTCTAAGTGAGATAACCGGAGGCCTGTTCAGCAGAGCGAACGCTCGCAAAAAAATTACTATTGGAGATACATGTATAAGGAAATTTGGTGAGCGCTCGCGAACGTTCGCTCTGCTGAACAGGCCTCAGTTTTTAAACCGCGGCAAGAATACGATAAATTGATGTCACAAAGGTTTCAATAACCTCCTTTAAAGTCATCTTTTTGCAAATTCTATAACCTATAGAGTTGGGACTAAGCTCCAGACAGCTCAGTATTACGTTACGCTACAACTCCATATCTCTAGCTTTGAATATTTTAAAGCCAAGCTTTGTTTTGTTTTTGAATCAAAATATAGTATTATTTACAAGCTAATTCAGAGAATCGGTGTCCCCGCTTTAGGAAAAAAGAGCATGCGCGGGGTCGAAGGTGGAAAGGACATTTTACGAAGGGCATGCGGGGCCATAGGGAGTAATGGAATAAAACTTCATTCGGAAATAGAATTTTTACAAAAATACAGAAAGTATGAATTTATTACCTTGACCTGTGACCTTTTGACGTCAAAATAAATAGGGGTCTTCCCTTACAGCCATTAGAAGTTATGGTATAAAATTTAGCTGGAAATTTAAAAGCTCAGAAGCTTTTCGAGATGTCACGCAAAACGAAAGTGTTAAACAGACAGAATGTATGAAATGATGATCTTAAATTGACCTTTGACCTCAAAATCAAAAGGCTTCTTTCATAAGCCATAGAGTTGCTGTGTAAAATTTTATTGCAAAAGCTTTTCAAGATATCGCGCGGGAACGAAAATGTTACGGACAGACCGAATATCCTCCCGTAAAAAAATATATAATTTTATACATGTTACTATGATGTATATATTTTTTAGTTGCATCGAGAAGTTGCTTATCAAGATTTATCTGCGTCATTCGATGCCGAGGAAATTCTGTTGCATGGTTCTGTTGGAGGCATTCAGAATCAGAGAAAGCAATTATTTAGAGGTCAGTTTGATCTTGATTTTAATTTTACCAGAATCAATATTACGCAGTTTATTTTGTGAATTGTTCGTCTTTTATGAAATACATTAATTGCTATTCTATGGTATGCCGATTTGTAAACTAATAATTGGGGGGATGTCTTCTAGCTATATCAAGGGATATCTTGAATTGAAAGATATGTCTCTTCATCTTGGATAGATACATGTTCCTCTTTCGAAAACATTCTTCATAAATATACCAAACGTTAATGTATGAATTAAACAGCTAGATATCGATAATAGTGAAAAATGGATTTGTTAATCAACCTGTATTTTATTTCTTTTATGAATTAAAACTATCAATAATAAGGCTGTAAGTTTCATAGGACACATCAGTATTTAGTCATTTTAAAATATCTTATTGACTTTTAATTAATGAATTCATGTTTTTAATGTTTTTTAATGATTTAAATTCCCAGAGCTTCCAACCTCCACAGTTTTCTACACGAAATCCCAAGAAACCCCGACAGAAGATCAGGGGCACAAATACATTTGCATCAAGAAATATGATAAAAATTTTGCAAATGTCTTAGATGATAATATAAGCCACGAAAATCAGTACGAAACTACAAGTATTTATCAAATGTTTGAAGATAAACATAAAAGAACTTCATTCAAGCTTAAGGAAGATCGGAAATCACCAGAATTGACGGTCAGTAGAAACACGGACATAAAGATTGCTCCACTGTCAAAACAGTTGCCAAGACATTCCCGTAAGAGCAGCGACGACACAAACGAAGCACATTCAGCAAGACACAGTGAAAATACAGTCTCCCAAATTTATATTGACCACACACAAGATTTACACTGCATCGAAACATATGACGAAAAAGATGACGATGAAAATGATTTGATCACCACTAAAATTCACGAACCTGTTAAACAAAATCGTTTGCTTAAATACGAGAGGAAAGAATCTAATGATGAAAAGGAAATTAGAAAAACACCAGTTGAAAATGAAATCTTTGGTATAAGAGATGACTTTACAAAAGGTATAAATTATCAAGATCAGCCCGATATTATCGGCGATGTATCTCCGATTTCAGATAGCAATCGATATAGCGTTCAAAATTCCTTCAGTGAAAGTGGAAAGGACATCGTAGAAGACTTTGGCCAGCAAAATGATGTTAAAAAGATAAATACGATTGAGGGTGTTGGACAATTTGAAAAGTCTGGTGATAAATTTCAAGAAAAAACAAATGGACTAGATGATGTTTCTTCTAACAACACCAATGAATGGGATATGGACATTTCTGATTTAGAATCTGAAAGTTCAATTGAAACAGAAACTGAAGTACAATCAAATACTGATTCAAATACTGAAGTGAAACAGCCACACCGCCATAACATTCAGAGGAGGAAGGGTCCAAGATATGACTCCAGAAGGAAGTATCTCAGTGTACATACCCCTAAAAGAAACCTCAGAACAAGTCTGTCAAACGCTGACAGTATAGGATAAAGATAATATATGCAAATAAATTCATTTTAAAAATTCTGATTTCATTTATAAAGTATGACAAGCATGCAAATAAGCAAGACAGAAAAGAGATGTACAATGTATAACGCTAAGGTGTATAATAACAGAAGGAATGTGCAACTGTAACTTTAAAACTTGCAACTCTCTCTATCATAAAATGTTTGAATTACATGTACATATGAATTAATGTGAAAGGGTTTATTTTAACAATAAAATGCTTTCTTTGTTTGTTATTAATGGAATTAACGGAAGCAGCTGTTGCAGAAAAAATGCATAACCCGCTTACGCGAGTTGTGTAAATTTTTTCTGCAATAGCTGCGACCGTTAATTCCAGTAACAACAAACAAAGAAAGACATTTTATTGTTTATATTTATATCTGTTTAAATAATCATTTAAAGTAGAATAAAAAAAGATTAATTATTGTATGAATGATGCGAACGTCTTTATACATTTCATTGATAGAACAGCCACTGATCAAGAAATCTGCACAGGCGACATGCCTAATGTAGTTCATGCAGTGATTAACGCAATGGGTTTTCTTAAGAAATAAAGGAGAAAATATTCAGTGTATGTAAATATTTGTCGATACTACAGTTAACAGTGAGGGAACAAATTGACCTTTGAATCAGATATAAATAACTATTCTTGAGGGAAATGTAGGATTGATTCAGTCAGTCTTATATCAATGTTCAAAGCCTATTGGTTAACTGTTACTGCACATACTAACATGTTAGTTGAACACTGTATCTTAAAATGTTTGCGTATGGATTGCCAACCTCACATAAAATACAGGAATGTTCAGCAGTGGTCATCTGAATATCAAAAATAGGAGGGTTTAATTAACAGAGGTCATTTGAATTATCATGGTTTTCAACAGTAATCAACCATGTTCCGGGCCCTACATGTATCAGTATCACTGTTTAGGTACTAGTACATGGCCAAAACTTAACTAATGATAAATTGAAATATGACCATTAATGAACTTCTTTTCGTCGTTAATGTGAAGATCCAAATGATTTTCATACATGATGAAAGACAGATAGGAAAGGCTATCATAGTTCAATCGTCAGACGCATGTATCAAGAAATCGGTCGTGTTTGTGGAAATGTAAACTGACATTACTGTGATCAAGCTTACAAAATAATGAAAATTAAATACCTACCCTTGTGCTACTCTTACTGTATTTTTAAGTGTCATATACATTTTCCTGAAAGTAACCTTGAACTTGCCAATTTTTCCATAGTTTAAAAATGAAGCCCGTTATGCATAAATTATCCCATGTTCCCCACTATCGTTGATGTCCCTGGCATACTATACTAAATAGACAGTGATTCCTTATATTTCCATTTCATTGTGAAATAAAATTGTAGATTTAGATTTTAAAGATGTAGACATAGATTACTACCTCTGAAATTTTATTCTTTATGTCTAGGCTATTTTATCCGTAAATATAAAAAAACATGCCATTAATGTGTGCAAAATATATAGGCCTAAATCAAATCCGAGGGAGTACAGTTACTGATATATGTACCCAAAATCAATGTTATTAAATTCTAAGGAATATATACAATTGATATTCATCGCAGCTCAATGCTGCCAAGAACACCTGTATTGAGTAACACAGAGTGAGTTATTCTTGTCCTCGGAGAAAGTGTGCTTTTACTGAGGTTTGTTCCGCCTGACTTACAACTGTACGTTGGATTTTTACGATTTGATATCTCTTATGTGTTTCTTATATCAAGAATGGGCATGCATAAAGGATAGATAATTGAAGGGAAATACAAAAATCTATTAAAAAAATATTAAAATACTCTTTAAAAACGCGAAAATTAAAAACTTTTAAAGTGTGGTACCAGGTGGATTCGTACGAAAGCCTAATGGACCTTTACGAGTAGCGCTGACTTTTACAGTTGACAGCTTACTTTTACACTAGAACAATGTACGGAAACTCTTTTATGATATGAATATTTAGCTCAACATTTAATTCAACCAAATAACATTTAGCGTTAAGAAGTTGTCCTTAAAGAAAACGACAACCACCCTACCCTCAACTCCCGGTCTTCACATGTTAGTGCCCCTAACAACCTAAGGGGCACTATCTATGACCACTAAAAAGGTGTTCTTATTTATTTATCAATTCTGTACCTCCATACATGATGCAGGTTTAAATGTCAAGAAAACCGTCAACTGTGAAAGTCAGTGCTTCTCGTAAAGGTCCATTAGGATCAATCTATATTATATTATGTTATTACGCCTTTCCATTTCAAAAGGCGTTATAATGCCTTTCTAAAAGGCGTTATTACGCCTTTCCATTCTAGAAGGCGTTATTACGCCTTTCCAAAAGGCGTTATTACGCCTTTCTAAAAGGCGTTATTATGCCTTTCTAAAAGGCGTTATTATGCCTTTCCAAAAAAGTTATTATGCTTTTTGAATAACCATTATTTTGCGTTTAACAGGCCCGTGCTTTTAATAGCCCCCCCCCCCCCTTCCACATACACACACACACACACACACACTCCACTGCCCAAATTTGTGGGGGAAATACTCGGTAAAAATTTATTTAAATGCAATAATTTGTCACAGTTTTACATACTGCAACAAAATGTTCAGGAACCAAGAAACCAATAGTTAATTATAATATTTAAACTGTAGTGCTGGCAAGACTTTTCCTAAAAAATGTGTATGTTTGGAGGGGGTTTACCCCATTCGCACTCGTATTACTGGCCTACATGAAAAGGAAAAGGCGTTATCTTATGTTAATAAATATAGAAAGATTTAATTAAAACCATCTTTATTTATGCAATTCTTTATATTCCTGCACATCTCACTGACAACTGTTTGCATTTGTATTAAGAGAAGGCAACACTCTACTTGTGAAGATCTAGAATATAGGCAGACTTATCTTGGAGCTTTGCTTGCCATGTACAGTGTATTAAAATTTATGTCATTTGAAGATATTTTTCTCTTTTCTTGGAAAAAAGCAGGCAACTATTTGCATGGGTATAATGAGCAATTGAAATCAATGACCCTTGGTAGAGGTGTGCCTGGTATGAAAGAAGGACTTCGTTGGTTCAACATTGAAAATATATGACGCATTTAAAAATCTTTTTTCCTGGAAATCTAATTGCTATCTGTTTAAATTATTTTTTGAGAAATTAGTCCTATATCTAATTGTGAAATTCATGTCCCAAGGGTACGATTTATGCATACACCCCCCCCCCCTCGGTTGGGCTAAATATGTTTAGTTATGTATTGAAAGTAAAAGGCGTAATAACGCCTTTTGGAAAGGCGTAATAACGCCTTTTAGAAAGGCGTAATAACGCCTTTTGGAAAGGCGTAATAAGGCCTTTTAGAAAGGCGTAATAACGCCTTTTGGAAAGGCATTATAATGCCTTTTAAAAAGACGTAATAGCGCCTTTTAGAAAGGCGTAATAATGCCTTCTGGAAAGGCGTAATAACGTCTTTTGGAAAGGCGTAATAACGCCTTCTAGAATGGAAAGGCGTAATAACGCCTTTTAGAAAGGTGTTATAACGCCTTTTAAAAAGGCGTAATAACGCTTTTTGGAATGGAAAGGCGTAATAACGCCATTTCAAAAGGCGTTATAATGCCTTTTTTCGCGTTATTACGCCTTTCGAAAGGCGTTATAACGCCTTTCAAATTTTTTTTCTCTCTAGATTGATCCTAATAGGCTTTCGTAGATTCGAACCAATGTTAGTTTGCACGGTGTAAAAGTCAGCGCAGATATCAACTGAGCTAGTCTGATTATAATATTTAGAGGTATAAATTTGAAGCAGATTATCAAAATCAGGTTTCCTTATTTTTTGTAGGTTTTTTTGTGAATTTCGACCTTAGGGCAGGGATGCCCCTAAAAAAATCCTATCTTAAATTATTCCTTACATCCAAACCTATCAAAATATCACAAATTTATTTAGGGGCAGGCCTTCCCTGAAGGACTTCTAGGCCAAAATTCATGCAAAAATCAACGCTTTAACGGACAAAATGATGTTTCGGCCAACTTTGGAGGTTTATTGTCAAGTTGTAAATAATAAATTTTAGGTATAAAATACTAATTTGAAAAATTTAGACATATATACGGTAGAAAACAACAAATAAAGATTAATTTTTAAATGTCACTTTTTCCTGGAAATTGTTCTCTCCTATAGGTCAATTCTTTTGTCAAAGTGAATATCCTTTGTGTGAAAATTGAACTTTCAATTGCTTCTATGAAAAAGTTATAGATAAGAATGAAGTTCATCAACAATTCCATTCTTGCATATAAGAGAATTATGGATTAAATGAGAAATGTTGTACTGTTCTTCTGTCAGTGACCTCGAATTTGCTCATATGTGAAGGTCACAAAACGTCTTAATGTCATAAGCAATCTTTTAGTTTAAGCTTAATTTTTCTCCATAACAATGTATGGTCAGGAAAGGAATTATACATCTTTTTCAAAAAGTGATTAAGAAATTGTCATAAGAAATCTTGAGTGAATGTCTACAAAAGCTATGACCATGTCACAAAGAAGATAGGGGAACAAGATGTGCAGAATGCCTATAGCTTCAGATTTTTAAAAATGAGATTCAATTTGTGAATTAAATATTAAAATTTAAGTTCTCATTATTGAAATTCATAAATTTATGAGAAACAAACCTTTTCTAAGAGAAAAAAAAATCTCGGAAAAAACTATTCTTTTATGGAAATATAAAATAGTATACTTGCGATTCTAACTCTAGCAATAACAAGAACTATGTCCATAGGACATGAATGCCATGCCAAGGGTATATTAGTAATGCAATATGAAAAGTATTAGTATAAGAAATTTGATCAGAATATCTTGAATAGTGATGCAGTTGAATTGCTTACATCAGTATGTATCAGCAGATGAAGTTTTACACTAATTTCAGAAAAGTGAGGTCAAAGTCAAAGGATAGGTCAAGGTAAAAAAAAATATTGATGCAGTTGAAAAGTTGTATCAACGTATGATTTCTTTAAAAC